ATTCCAGAACAAGGGAAAAGCCTTTCCTGCAGCACCTGAGTTTCTCAAAGTGATTTCACACCAGCCCAATGCCCTGGACCCTTGACGACTGAGGGTGAGGATGAGCAGCCGCAGGTGCCGCTGAGGTGGGGCACACAGGGATGCTGTCCGGCTTTGCCCACGGTGAGTTTCAAATCCAGGTGATGAACTGATGCTGTGGTTTCTAAACCTGCCACTTCTGCCACCTGCCACTTGTGTGTGAATCAGAGTAAAATCAACCTGAATAAATCATGTGAAGACAGGACACTGCAGTGCCACCGGCGTGTGTGTGGGGTGGGCAGTGTGCTGGGTTGTGACAACCACAGCCCACTCTCCTTTTTGGTAGTCATGGCTCTGAGGGTCCCGGGGTCAGTAACCTAAAGGATGGGGAAGCCCATTTGGCCAAGGGAATCTCAGAAATGCCACAGACTGTGTCACATGGCAGGGAGTCAGGCGATTTCCTAGTTCAGGCCTGGGAAGGAGGGAGAAATTGCCCCTGAATGTTATAAGCTGAAATGTCCTAAGCAAATTATTTCCCAGTGTCCGCCATTCTGCCCCTCCCATCACCAGAGCAACTTGCCTAATCAAAGGGGCAAGAGAGGTGAGGGTCGGAGTCCTCCCTTGTCTAGGGGCTTGCTCCATTGCACTAGGGTCTCCAGTTACGAATTCTGTGCATCACTGATGCTGGTTTCCCTATAGGAAAGTGGGACATGGTCTAAAGAAATCGGCTGGTAACACAGGAAGAGCTGAAAAGCCCTCGTGTGCCTTGTCCCCCCTTTTCCCCGTTCAGAATATGGCCTTGAAGCCCCTCCTAGCAGAAACTGGGGGTGTCGGAGGGGATGGAGACTCATTTGGCCTGAGCTGCCTTTTGCTTCTTTGTTATATTAAGCTCCTGGATGATTAACCTTCTCCCACAGCGTTTCCCAAGATGGAACGTTCATGGCCAATAATCTGCGTCGTGAGAGTAAAAGGCCCCACTGCTCACATCTGGGAAATGCTGGTGCGAGTAGGTTTCTTTATGATAGAGCTTCACACGCCTGTAACAGGCGGCCTGCCCGCGGGTCCCTGTGCACCACATACTGCGTGGGGCGCTTTCTCATGTTATTTGGAAACCCTCTCTGGCTACTCCTTGAATGGTGCCCTGCAGAGCACAGGGCCGAGAACGGTGGTGCGGCACAAAGCTCGGGAGAACGAGCAGCCCCACCCCTTAGCTCTGCTGCCAGCTCACTGAGCAGCTGGCGCAGGCACTTTTATCTTTCTGACCCTCAGTCTTTTCATCTTAGGAGATGGGTGAGCAATCCTACCCCTCAGGCCCGTCATGCAGAGAGGAAGTGGGACGATGCGACCTCGGCCGCACTGCTGGGACTGCAGCCAAGGAGGAAGGCCGGGTGCGATCCAGTGAGGCTGAGCACACGCGTGCGTGTGTGCATGTGTGTGTGCGCGCGTGTGTGTCCACACGTGTGTATGCACGCGCCGCCTGTGCGTGTGTGCACGCTAGCAAGGTCTTGGTGGAGGGGCTGACACCGTAGACCTGGCGTTCCAAAGGTGCTGCTGGACCACGGGCTGCGTTTCCAAAGGAGCTTCCCGGGACAGCCTTCAGCCTCCCACTTCCACATTAAGGGTATAAAAGGATCAGGGATTTGAGTTTTTAAAAAGCATTTGTAAGGAGAATGTCTTTGGGGGAGAGTTGAGCTGTTTACTCCAGTCTGTTCCTCTCAGGAGAGAGGTGGGGTTGCTTCCTTCTCACCCCGATCTCTTGACAGCTTGGCTTATGTCCCCTGGAATCTGTGGCCTTAGTGGCTGAAATACTGAAAGGCGACAAGGTGGCTCTCAGCAGACACCCGAGGAGGCTGTGGGTAGAGGACATAACTGCCCGCCTGTCAGTGTCTAGGGTGGGATCGGATGTGAGCCACGGGTGGGGTCATCTTGGATCCCGTCCACAGGGCCGCCTGCAGGGGTGGTGGGACTTCCACAGAGAAGGCTGGCGGTGGACTTCCCCATGCTCAGCGTCTGCAGGGGAAAGCAGATGCCTAACAGAACGCCTTCCCTACGTCAAGGGGGCTGAGGGTGAGAGACCATCCGTGACGTCGGGACTCCCCCAAAACCTCAGAGAGCTCCCTGAGAAGGGTCGGCTGAAACGCCTGCCCCGCCCAGAGTGGGAACCATCGTAGTCTGATAAGAATTTCCTTTCTCCCTTCCCACACCCCCGGGGGTTGGAAGGTCAGAAAAGATTTGGCAAGCTGGGGACGAGAAGGTGCGCTCTACTGTCCGCCACCAGGTGGCGCACCTGAGGCCGGCGGGTTCGCGGAGGGAAGGCTTACCTTTCCCTTGTTCCAAGTTTTGATGATCACCTTCCTTTTCACTCTTCATCTTTTGGGTGCTATGCACCCACTTTGGTCCTAAGCTGAAATAACGCATCCACATTCTCAGCTTGTGTGTTTACAAGCTCACCCCTCCATTCGGCTTCCCGAGAGCAGGAGGCCACAGAAACTACAGACGCCGCCCCCACGCCCTTCCTACAACCCGGCCCCCGGGTGGTGGGAGTGGGCCTCTGTGCCTCCCCTTTGTATTGAAACGTGTGGGAGAGCGTGGAGGAGACAAGTGGGCACAGCTGGGACCCTCTAACAGGAAGGCCCCCTTAACAAGGCTCCTCCTTCAGGAGGGAGCGGAGGTTTCCCAGGCCCTCCTTGGGTCTGGTCTCACCTGCTGGCCAAGGTGGGAAGGATCCAGGCTGCTGACGAAGGAGGCTGTCTCCTGAGGGGACCTGAGGCTGGGAGTGGGGAGGGGCAGCTGAGCATCCTGCCCCGGGGTGGAGGGAGTAGAGGGCAGGGGTGAAAAGGGGCAGTGAGCCGCAGGGACAGGAAGGGTCCTGGACTCAGGGCACATGCAGGCATGAGCCCCCTACCCGTACTTTCAGGGGAGGGGGCAACTTTGTATGGTTGGACTGCACCCCCAAGTAGTGTTATGTACTAAGATATGGGGCTGGTTTGATGACTGGAGAAATTTGCATATGGCCCGGGTGTTAGACAGTGATGGGGTCATGGTGGTTACACAGTGTCCTCATCAGAGCAGCAGACTGAAGTATTTCTATGGGAAGCGACTTGGTGGCTTGGACTTGGGCTTACTTTTAAGGTACTCCAGCCTCACTCCCCTTCCCCAAAGTAGGGGAGAGGTTTTCAGCATGTTGATAACTTTTGAAGCTGGGGGAGCTCTCTACTTTCGTGTATGCTTGAAATTTCTATTAAAAAAAATTGAGACTCAGTAGGAACAGTAGCCTGGAATCAGTTTCTACCTTGTACGAAGTACCTGCCTGTCGTTTTCATCAAAAAGCTGCCTTCCCAGTTGTGTGTTAGACAGACCCCTTTTGAGGAAGTCAGGGGATCTCAAATATTACTCTGTCTATGCACTCTTCTGCCTCAAAGATCAAATGGTGGTAGCCTGTTCCCAAATCATAGGAAAAAAAGACTAATGAATACAATGAATCAACCTTTGGGCAGGGGAAGTAATCACTTAACTGGGGGGCTTGGGAAGGTGCCCAAGTGGGCTTTGCAGTGAACCATGGCCAGTCCCCCCGCCCCTCACTGCCGGGGCACATCACACATAGTGGGAACCACAGATGCAAATCCATGGATGCCAGAATCCCCCAAACTTCCCCAGATCCAGCTGGCCCTTGAAGCGCCCCATCCCCTGCCCTCACCCTGACCTTGTGTCTCTCTTCCATCCCGACTCTCCCCACCATGCCCTGATCCTTCTCCTGCCCAGCATCACTTTGCACACAGGTGCTGGAAAGCCGTTTGCTCACTGAGTGAGGAGCCCAGTGGCTCTACAGCGAGCACATCAAGGCCTCCACAGCCCGCATGTGGGTGTCTCCTGCCCCAGCCCAGCCCTCTGCTGGCCCTTCCCCTTCCTCGCAGACGGCTCGTGGTCCTCCACCTGCCCCTGAAGTCCATCTGATTCCCCCTGGCTGGGTCGGGGCCCCTGGCTGGGCCAGCCACACCCTGGCTTCAGACGTCAGCCTCCTGTGGAGAGCCTCTCAGTGGCACCTCCAGCCCGATTTCTGTTCTGCACCTGCCAGCCCAACACCTGCTTCACGCTTGCACTGGGATGTCTCAGGGTCCCTGCACCTCACTCCAACCTGTCCCAGGCCAGACTTATTATCCTCTTTCAAATGTACAGTGCTCCCCATCTTAGCTGGCAGTGACATTTGCCCAGAGAACAACCAGGGACCAGGGCCTCACCCACCACCCACACCCCATCCATCACCAGGCCCTGCTGACGTCACCCCAGAAACCTCTCGGCCAATCCATTCACCTCTTCCCCATCTACCACTTGCACCTTGGCCCACGCCTCCATCACTTCACCGAGATTAGGGTAATAGCCCCTCACCTGTCACTCTCCACAGCCAGGCTGAGAGCTGATGTGGCCACAGGCCACCGGGAGGAGCAGGTCTGGTCCTGCTCCTGGGGTCTCTTGCTCCAGCAGAATCCTGGGGTTGCAGGCTCTGTGGGCCTCACAGGTGGTGAGCGCTGGTACGTGGCCACTGCTTGTTGTGTGAGTGAGTGAGTGAGCGGATGGTGAGTACCTGCAAGGCTAATACTGGGGGTTTCATTCAGAATGTAGGCAAGTGTGAAGGCAGCAACAGGGATTTATATTCATACCCCTTCTCCCATTATTGAGTGTGGAAAATAGTGCAAGTGTATAGAATAAAAGTAGACCTTACAACTTTTAAGTCAGTAATGGGTTCCTTTCCCTTTCCTGGTCTGGTTATTCCCTCAATTATTAATTCTAAAAAGACTATTTTTGCTGGTATTTACATAACCAAGTCAGCTAACAACTGGGTATCATAATTAAGCTGAATTTCTTATAGTTACCTAATCTGATGAAGGCTTACGCACTATATGCAAACTATAGTTTTATTTGCAAATAACCCAGGTGAGAAAAAAAGATCTGTATGTGAAACAGAATATAGTGTGAATCAGACCTAATTTTAAATACTTTAATTTATACACTTTCACGATTATAGGTCAATAAGAAATCCACTTTCCAGATCTTATTTCATTATAGAATATATTTGATAAGGATACATACAAACAATCATCTTTAATACATGTTGTTTACTGGTGTCCGGCACTTCTGCAGCAGGCTGGAGATGTAATAAAAATGCTTCCCAGTGCTCGGCCTCGTTAGCCACTCCAAACAACCAGTGCTGTAGAGTTCAGACAGTTCAACTCATTTACTGGCCTGGAACAAGTGAAAAAAATCTTGATATTCGCCTTTAAGCCTGTTTAGTACTCTTCTGTTTTAAAATCTGAGATACATTCCCCAATGTAAACAATAAATTTCAATCTGTCACACAATTGAAATGGGTAAGGCCTTCTTGACAGTGCAGGCCACCTACGTTTTACTCATCAGAACGCAATCTTATTTCATAGTGTAACAAGCCGTCCGTGCACAAAAGACAGGAAAAGAAGCCGCCCTTCGTCCCTGGTGGAGCCTTCCGGACTTCTCCCCGCTGCAGGTGGATGGTACACTTAAGAGAGATCTTTTTGACTTGGTCTACTTGGTCTTAAAATACAAATATACAATGTCCATAAGCTAAATAGTAAAGCCAGCCTTACGTACTTATCATGAATTGCTAAAACCCTATACAAGGACGATACCATGTCATGCCAATTAATGTACAGAGGGCGGTGGCTCAGCATCTCCACCACGCATCAGGGCCCGGGAACGGGGCACAGAGGGGACTCGATTCCTGTAGGCGTTAAGTGGCTGCGGCACTGGGTCAGGCGGGCAGTCCGGCTGGAGCTCTGAAATGCCCGCGTACCCTGCGGCACTCGTGAACTTGATCTGGAGTAGAATCGGCTTAACACGAGGAGAATCTGACCCCTTTCTCACCAGCCTCCCAGAGGGAGAACTGAATGAAACCTTAGAACATGTAACCAAATAGTCTTCTTTGCACTTCCTGATTCAGTCGTGCAGATCAGTTATCCATTCTCTCCTCCACTGATTTCTCCTCTTAAAACCAATGAAGCAACTGATCAGGATTCAGTACCTCGTTGTCATTAACACCTGACTCGGAGCTCGACGGCGAGCCAGTAAAGCCCATGTACAATGTTTGCAAAGGCGTCCCGCGGCCGCTTCTCGACGGGTTCACGGAAGAGCTACGAAGGACACACCCGCCCCGTCTCGATGTCACCCTGATGTAAACCTTGGCATCCTTTCTTACATTAAGTGTGTTTCATACATTGAACAACAAAGGGGAGACCTGAACGGCTGATCTGCTGTGACGCTCACCGATCCACTAAGCTAAGGTAACCGTACAGGGCGTGGTTTTCCTGAGGTTTGTGAGAACTTGTCAAACGAAGCAGAAATCACGGTGACCGAGTGTGACGTGAGTCTGTGGCTCCGGCCGCTCCGCTCCCCTGGTTCTCGCTGGGACTAAATGACCCGCCACTGCATGATGCTCGTGTCTTTGCCGCCGGTGGAGATGAGGTGGCTGTCATCACAGAGGAAGTCGACGTTGGTGACGTGACTGCTGTGGCCACTGTACACGTGGCTGGGAGCCTGGGGAAGAAGGACGCGGGGGGAAGCTTCACGCAAAGCCAAGTAGGTGGCGTCCACATTCACGCTCCCGCTCCCCCGTTCTTCCCCACTCCTGCTCTCACTCCCGCCCGGACCAAACCACGCAGAGCCCCTGCATATCGACCACCTGGTCTGGTCGGGGGAGGGATGTGGGCAGGGAGAGGTTCAGCCCCAGAGGAGGGTGGACTGGATGCTGGGGTGGAGGGGTCCCCGGGAAGAAGGAGGGGGCATTCCAGGCACTGCCCTGGGCTCAGCTCAGCAGCTGGAGCGCAGGGAGCTGTGGGGGGGGGGAGCTGAGTCCCACCAAGTGCAGAGGCAGACAAGGCAGAACCAGGTAAGGGCCGGGTGCCCCCTGGAGGGCAGCTGGGGGCCCCAAAGTGCTCCAGAGCAGCTGATGGTCACGTCCACATCCATGACTGGTGGCATTTACTCACAGCATCTTTCTATTCAAGTACCAACCAGCCAGGCCAGGTGGTGGGTGCACCCCAAGGGGGTAAGACCAGAGAGGAAGACGGTCCCTTACCCTGAACTGGGAGCAAGGGTAGGAGAAGAGGTGCACTTTGCCAAAGTCATCGCCAGTTGACAGCAGTTTTTTCTCATGGGCGCGACAGGCGGCATTGATGTCAGTTCCGTCCGAGCCTTCTGGCCACACTCCTAAATCAAAGACCACAGACAGAGCACTGGAAACACCAGGACACAACAGGGCCATACTGCGTGGGGAATGGACATCGAACTCTCACAAAAATAAAATGTCCTGGGCTTTAGAAACCAGGCCCAGACAAATACGTTGTCTCAGCTCCTGGTCTCCCTGTTTCTGTGATCATCTCTCTGCAAGCTGTTCTGGGAAACCCTCCACATGTAGCCCATTTTGCAGCAAGATTGTACCTCTTTTGGGCTACAGCAGAAAATAGGCCAGAAACCCTGGTTCCAAACACAATACCTCTCCTCTATCCCTGAAGCATCTGACGGGAAGTTGATTAGACCTAAGCCTTCAGTCTCCTAACTTTTCTTTTTTTGGGGTAACTCTTTACATATGAGTCTCTCACAAGGACTTTTTAAACTGTGGGACTGCATGTGGCTTTCAGGCTTGGTGTCAGCTCTTCATGGCAGCTGCCTGCCTGGTGGTGCTGGGCAGGTGTGGCGTCTGCCCGGGTGGACCTGGGGTGTGGTCTTGGGGGTGAGGTCTCCTCACCATTGGTCCAGGAAACCCTTTTGGTCCCAATAATTTTGGATGTGAAAGAGCTGCATGCACATCAGTTTCTCAACAGGCAATTCTGGAGTAAACCCAGGGCATCCTAGCATTTAATATGAGAAGATGGTAAAATGCCAGCTCTAAAGATATTTGTGAAATTCTCACCAACTTATTGACTTACGGTCATATGTAAAGAGATGATAAACACTTCCTTTCCTTTTTTATTCTGTTACATTGTGGCAATTTATTTTAGACCATTTATGAATATATTCCTAATCTAAACTTTGAAGGAGGTGAAAAATTTAGTTTAAGGGCCAAAAAGATGTAATAACCCTAACAAGTGAAAATGAAGTGATCGAACGCCATTTGGTGCCTTGGTCTAGGAAGTGTGGCACAACCTCCTATGAGAGGATTCTGGAGAATTATCTCAAGACCCATTTGGTACCAGAGAAAAGGATTAAGCCCCATCTCTCTGGTTCTTCTTGCCTGGCTACGGCCCTTCCCCAGGGCTGCAGCCAGAGTGTTCGTTGTCCTGTGGGTGTCACGTAGGCCGAGCAGTTTGAAGCTGACCACGAGATTTCAAAACTATTAGAGAAACATTGTAAAAGTAGACACATCTTATGTTTGAACCAAATGAAAGCTGCAGAAAACTTACCAAAGACATGGAATCCCAAAGTACAGGTGTACGTGGCCCATTCGATGTCTCTCGTAGTTTCCACACTTACGACTTGCTTACAAGCAGAGGGAATCCCTGGGAAAGGCAAACGCAGGTCTAGTGACAAAGAGCCAAAGCCCCCCCTCCTCCCCAGGCAAGGCTGGGCCTCTGGGGCCACGCCTCATAGGCTGCAGAGAGGGACACCGTGGGGACCATGCTCATGGCCAGAACTGAGCCCAAGCCCCAGGGCCTCGGTGCGGACACCTCCTCTTCTGTTTCCTCCCACCTCCTTCTCTGGGTCTGCTCCCCCCAGTCTGGCTTCTTTTCTTTGACCTCCTCTGGTTCCTAGGCCTCCGTCTGCTCTCTGTCCCCCTGGACACAACCTGCCTGCTGCTGTCAGGCTCCCTACACATGCTGGGGCACAGACAGATAGACACACACACACACACACACACACACACACGCACATGCAATCCCTTCAGCTCCGGGTTAGGAATGGAAGCTTATGGAAACCAGTCACACCAAGTACCGGTGGCCTCCCAGGTGATTCGTTTGTTCCCCAACTGGGCTCTCACTAATGGAGTATGAGACCATGTCTGAGAACATTCTAGACGCATGGCCTGTCCCTGGAAACCATCCCCCTGCTTCTGCACCATGTCAGGCAGGGCCTTGGAGAGGGCAGTGAGGGGGACCCTGTGCCACCTGCCCCACCAGAGGGAGCTGATCTTCCTCCTCCTCCACTGCCAGCAGCCCTGCCCGGCACAGCTCTACAGGTCGGGGCCGCCTCCCCACCCACCAGCTCTGGATGCCCGTGGCCTGGTCCCTGAATCAAGATTTTCATGTCTGAAAAATGGGGCAAGCCAGAAGTGCTGTGGATCACCTGAGAGCATGTGGCGAGGCACACGGTACTTTCTAGGACCTTCTGGTAGGGCGGAGACAAGGCCCTCCTCTGCCTGTGACTCCTGTGCCCTGCACGTGGCAGGTGCTTAAAAATGTCAGAGGACCCAGCACCTGGTGGCAGGTAGCAAGTGCCAGCTGTCCCCTTTTTCCCCACCCAGCCTGGGCAAGACCTGGCCGGGAGGGGCTGGGGGAAGGGGAGAAGGGGCCCTAGGGGGCTGCTGTCCGCTTCATGGTCTCTGCCTGCTGGGGTGATGCCATCACGAGGGTCTCTCTCACCAGGACAGCTCTGACCCCACTCTCTTCTGCCTCCCCCTTGGGGCCCCGTTCAGCCTGAACCCCAGGTCTCTCAGCGCCAGGAAGACCTTGAGAGGTTGTCCAGCCCAGCTCCTCTACTTTACAGAGGAGGAAGTGAGGCCCAGAGACGCCATCCCGCGCCCGAGTCCTGCGGGAAGTGGGTTTTTGCAGGAGGCCCCATCTGTTCTCAGAGTGAAGGTTCTACGTGACCTGCACCCAGCCCCTCCTGGGGAGCCACTCACAGTACAGGATTTCATAGTCTCCGGAGTTTGACACGAGGAACTGGGAGTTTACAGACCAGTCCAGGTGAGTGATGAAGCTGGAATGACCCTGGAGAGAAAATGCAGGGTGAGTTTCACTCCCTCACAGCTGCCCACCCGCACCGCCCCGAGGTGACAGAGGACCGCGCACAGCCCAGGAGGGGGGACCGCATGCTCACCGAGCACTTGCCCACCCGCGCGTACTTCCTCCCGTTGTCGCTGACTCCGTAAATGTAGATACAGTTGTCATGGGAGCCTATTGCTAAGAAATTTCCATCTGTGAAAACATGAGAGATTCCATTTCAGTCATTAAGAATAAACATTTTATCAGTTCCAAGGGATAATGTTAGTTGACATCACAGACTTAGAAAAAATAGCCATGAAGAGTTTCAAAGAGAAAAGCTTGCTTTTAAATAAATCCTATACCACTTTCAAAGCTATCTTTTGAAAATTCACATCTGCCTAGTTTCCTCTCCTTGTAAAAACCTTCCCTGGCCATCCCCACCAAGGAGGCGTCCTTAGTGCGACCCACAAAGCGCTCTGGGGGCACACACATCGCTCTTCACTGAACAGACCAGGTTCCCTCAGGCCTTTGACACTTTTCCTCCTGCCCCC